AGGAAACCATCAGGTCTGGTACTTTTCTTTGAGATTCAGATAATGCTTTTAATGCCTATAAAGATTAAAAATGAAATTAAAAGACTTTCATCGCAAATTTTAAATGGTGGTACAGCACTGCATGTGCTTCTTTATGAATGCATTAAATAATGTAAGCGAGCAGCTGGTCTAGGAGTTATGGTAATTTTGAAGCGATGATGAGCAGAATGGTATTCTGTGGCATCTGCAGCAATGGTGATGTGATGTGAGACATCCATGACTTCTGTAGGAGGTGGAGTCCCAGACACTGCTGATGCTGCTGCAGCAGTTGGTTGCCTAGATTCATAATTCAGGAAAATGTTAAATTTTGATTAACGGCCAGTGATGGTAAAGATGGTATTTTTTTTTCTGTCCCAGTTCTCAGTATCAACCTCCTTGGTGTGCTGGGTATGGCAACTATCCCAAACACCCCCATGGGCCCATGTCACACATGAACATATTGTTATATCTTTCCAGAAAAAAAAAATGCTGAGAATTACCACAGTAAGGGACGTTTTACTTTGAAACATTCACTGGTGTACCCAGCCCTGACCAAGGGCCATGTGGAGGCTGGAGTGTGCAGGTGCAGGGGGTGGTGCCCTATGCAGGAGGGTGGCCTTGGCTCTAGGGTGCACAGGCATGGCCTCTCTGTAGGACCTGTGCTTCCACTAGGAGGCTGGGGTGGTTACATGCTCCTGAGTGTGTTTGGGGAAGGAACTCAGTAATTAGTCACCACGTGTATACGTTTCCTGCAGCTGCTGTGGCAAATTACCACAAATTCAGTGGCCGAAACACAAACATTTATTCTCTTACAGTTCTGAGGTCAGAAGTCTAAATTATCTCACTCTGGTAAAGTCAAGGTGTTGGCAGGGCTGGCTCCTACTGGAGGCTCTAGGGTAGGGGGGAATCTGTCTCTGCCTTTTCCAGCTTCTAGGGGTCTCCACATTCCTTGGCTTGTGGCCCCTCCCTCTGCCTTCAAAGCCAGCATCTTCTCTCCTCTGACCCCTGCTTCTGTGGTCACATCTTCTGTCCAACTGTGAAGCTCCTGCCTCCCTCTTAAGATCGTGATTACATGGGACCTACCTGGATAATGCAGGACAAACCCCCTTCTCAAGGCCCCTCACTTAATCCCATCTCCAAAGTCCCTTTTACCAGGTACGATGATTTAAAAGATGTCATCCCCTCCAAAATTCATGTTGAAACTGAAAGTTGGCCGGGCGCGGTGGCTCACGCCTGTAATCCCAGCACTTTGGGAGGCCGAGACGGGCGGATCACAGGGTCAGGAGATTGAGATCATCCTGGCTAACACGGTGAAACCCCGTCTCTACTAAAAATACAAAAAACCAGCCGGGCGAGGTGGTGGGCGCCTGTAGTCCCAGCTACTCGGGAGGCTGAGGCAGGAGAATGGCGTAAACCCGGGAGGCGGAGCTTGTAGTGAGCTGAGATCCGGCCACTGCGCTCCAGCCTGGGCGACAGAGCGAGACTCTGTCTCAAACAAACAAACAAAAAAACCCAAAAAACCTTTGTCTTCCTTGAACATGCACAGTTACTGTAATATGCGTGTTCCCGTTGCAAGGCCCTCTTCCTGAATAAATATCTTTTTAGAGAGCTCCTCTGTTATTTAGGTTAACTAAGAACAAACTTGGTACCCACTGTGGTGACAGAAGAGGTAGGGCCATTTAGGACTAGGTCACTAGGGCTCCTCTTATAAAAGAGGCTTCCTGTGGAGTTTGGCTTTTTCTTGCCACTCTGTTCATCCCACCTTGTGAGGACACAGCATTCTTCCCTCCAGAGGAAACAGCAACAAAGTGCCCTCACCAGACACAGGACCTGCCAGTGCCTTGATCTTGGACTTCCCAGCCTTCAGAACCATGAGAAACAAATTTATATTGTTTATAAATCACCCAGTCTGTGGCATTTTGTTATAGTGGCACAAATGAACTAAGACACCAGGTAAGGTCACACATTCACAGGTTCCAGGAATTAAGATGTGGACATCTTTGGGGGGGCGCCGTTGCTGTTACTGCACTATTTTGCTAGTGAGGTTGCAACAGGAAGTCCAGGGGCCTCATCCTGTTGCTTGTATCATAAGCCAATGTCCACTTGGTGGGACCCTCAGGATGTGTCTAGGAACAAGAGGGGAACAGCAGGGCAAACAGGATGAGTTCTCCTCTTGTGCTCTCCGTGGGCAGGCAGGAGCCCCTCAAGGTATGTGCCCATCCAACTCCTCCCCAGAAGACGGGGCCCTGGAGTTACTGGAGCTGTGCCTGAGCTGCTGCTATGCTTGTAGGAGACTTCTGAGCACCTTCCCTCTACCTTCATCATGTCTAATGATGCTGTAACTTGGTCTCAACATTAAAGATGGAAAAAAGGGCCAGGTGCGGTGGCTCATGCCTGTAATCCCAGCACTTTGGGAGGCCGAGGCGGGCAGATCACGAGGTCAGGAGATCAAGACTAACATTGTGAAACCCCGTCTCTACTAAAAATACAAAAAATTAGCCAGGCGTGGTGGCGGGTGCCTGTAGTCCCAGCTACTCGGGAGGCTGAGGCAGGAGAATGGTGTGAACCTGGGAAGCGGAGCTTGCAGTGAGCCACTGCACTCCAGCCCCGGCAACAGAGTGAGATCATGCCACTGCACTCCAGTCCGGGCAACAGAGTGAGACTCTGTCTCAAAAAAAAAAAAAAAAAAAAAAGAAAAGAAAAAAAGGTCAGCCTGTTTTGCTCTAACAAAAATATTTTTCTCCTTTTTTTTTTGTTTTTTGAGTCAGAGGGTCTTGTTTTGTCACTTAGGCTGGAGTACAGCAGGAAAATCCTGGCTCACTGCAGCCTTGACTTCCTGGGCTCAAGTGATCCTCCTACCTCAGCCTCCTGAGTAGCTGGGACGACAGGTGCACACTATTGCTTCCTGCTTTTTATTTTTTATTTTTATTTTTTGTAGAGGTGGGGTGCCCCGGCCGAGGCATGAGGGTCTTATTTTTTGCCCCAGAATGGTCCTGGGAACTCCTGGGCCAAAGGCGATCCTTCTGCCTTGGCCTCCCAAGTGCTGGGATTAACAGGTGTGAACCACCTAATGCGCTGGACCAGAAATTAGTTTTTCCTTTTTTTTTTTTTTCTCTTTTTTTTTTTTGAGAACAGAGTTCTCCCTTAATTGCCCAGCGCTGGGAGTGCAGTGGGGGCGGGCGATCTCGGCTCATCTTTGCAAAGCTCGCCTCACCCGGGTTCACCGCCATTTCTCCCTGCCTCAGCCCTCCCGAGTAGCTGGGACTACAAGCCGCCGCGCCCCCCTCAGCCCGCGCTATTTTTTTTGCCTTTTTTAGTAGGAGACGCGGGGTTTCACCGTGTTAGCCAGGGATGGGTCCTCCGATATC